CTTCATTTGTCATCATTGCTTCTTCTTTTGCAAAAAAAGTTATACCATGTGTCTACAAGGAAGAACAGTTGTATCGCGTGGTTCGGACATGCAAATAACGCATTCCTTTCCCGTATCACTAGGATCCTCATCGCAACCATCAACCGTACTATTCCCCATCCCATAAATGTCCTGCAACTCATATCTAAACCCATTCACCCATAGTATCTGCTTCACAGCTCTAATCTGAATCTCTCCGTTCTCCTTCACATACACAACTTGAGTAATCTGCGCATTCACATTCATCGATCTCATTTTTCCTCCCTCTGAGCCAACCACTGGAGCTGCCTCTGCCTTAACCGCCAGCGGATAAACACCTCTTCCCACCTTCCCGAATAGCTCGGAATCTTCGAATACCGATAAGTCAATACCAGTTCCAGATGGTTGTATGAACTTCTGACCAAGTCCTTTATTGAATTCAAATGTGATTGAAGGCAAAGTATGTTCCTTTGTTGCTATAAGATTACATTCTTCACATTCTTTCGCAAAGAAAACGATTGTGATCCTGTTCTCTCCCCACAAAAACAACAAAAGGTAAGTTCTTTATTTCACTCTAATACCTTAATCGATTCATCAAGATTCAAAATTTAATCTAAATTCCAACAATTGGCACTTGGAAAATGTAAAGTTCACTCTGTGCGTTGATTGATTCAACAAAATTCAAACTTTAGACTAAAATTCAGCATTGGCTCTGTTTTTGCTCTGTTTTCGAATCAGAGATCAAACCTTCCGGAGACGCCTGAATCAAACTTGAAGGAGACGAGATATCGACCCGGATTAACCGGGTCGGGTTCGAGCCTAAGAGTCTCCTTTTTCAGATTAACGTCGTTGTGAATCGTGACGGCTTTCTGATGTTCGATGTAAGGAGGTGGGATCATCGGAAATCTCTCGCCGGCGATCCAAGGATAAGGTAGCTGGTTAATATGAGGTGGATCGGACGGAGGAGAATGATAGTGACCCGGGTACTGGTAAGAATGGTTCGGGTTAGGTTTTGTATCCGGTGTCGCGGCGGGGAATCGGAATCGATAAGGTGGGGTTTCCAGTGGAGGAGGAGTTGTTTCCGTCTCCGGAGGAATATAGGTCCACTGTCTATTGTGGCGGCGACTTCTTAGGCAATCGATGATGCAGCAGATATTCCCCATGATTGAAATTGTTTCTTCTCAGAGTCGGAAACAGAGAATAAAGGACTGATTTTTTTTCGATTGCCATTGAGATTGAGATGATTGGGTCAGGACCGAGTAAAACACCACTTGATACGGCAACAGTATTTGACTTACGAAAAAGAATATTTGACTTAATAGATGAATGAAGTTTCGTTTTAATTTATTTACAAAATTAAAAACATGTGGGATAAATTGAGAAATGATCAATCATTTATTTTTAAAGTAACTAGGAAACAAATCTTACCGCGCGGAAAAATGATATTTATCAATTTTGTTTAATATTGTATTCGTTTCATAATATAAAAAATTTTGGTTAAAAAAGCAAATTTTTTTCCCAAAAATATGATTTAATATGTAAAATGAAAACAATTTAGCTAATCATGAAAGAAACTACAGAAAAATATTAATCACACAATATATCTGCTAAAGCTATAGAAATACATGAACATCTTATATTTTGAAACCAAACAAAATTCCAAAACATTTTATGTCATAAAATAGAGAAAGTAGAATCTACTTAGGTTCGTGAATTTTTGTTTATTTTACTAAATTTAAAACGAACTCAAACATAAATTTTGTTGTCCTGTAAAAGTATAAACAATGATGTAATATGGGATATGTTACAGATATTCAAGTACATAATATATTAAAGAATTATTTTTAAATAATATTTAATTGTGATAAGTACTACGTGAAATATGTTAAACTTGATTACATGATATATTTTTTAGTAACTTCGAAGTTCGAACCTTTCCGAGAATCCGAAGTCGATCTTTCGTATATTCTCAAAATATCTTAGCGAAAGAAGAAGAAATTGGTGATGCACAGTCACTTCCATAAGATATGAAGATACACTAATATTGACAGTGCAGACGAAGGAGTGAAGTAAGGCAAGACAATATAGACGTCAACATTTTCAGTTATGACATCAACACATGAACATAGTAGATTAACAAAACAGTAGAATGAATGCTCTGTTTTATTTAAGCCGTTGGATATATTTGTCTTGTCCTCTATTTAACACCTATATACATTATTTTATCCTAAACTCCATTCCCTCCAAAAAAAAACATAGTGATGTATAGTGATCGTGAAAATGTTACCAATACCCAACACTAAGTAAGAAAAAGCAATACAATCCAGAAAAACACTATACGAAATGATTCGATCCAAGCGTTACACAATAACAATATCTAAACAGAAACATCGGTGGTGGGTTTCTCCGGATAAAGAATACAAAAAGTCGAGTGACGTCGCAGTAAAAAAACTCGTTTAGGAACATATATATTTATGATTAGAGAGAGCAAAACAAAACTTACCCGAAATTTTGATCGGAGATAAGTGGCTACGGTTCAAGAAATAATACAGAGAAGAAATTCACAGTTTGTCCCTCTTAATGAAATTGGACAATCGCAAGGTAAATGTGAAAAGAGAAGAGGAGATGGTCAAGAAGGTTGCAATTGAGAAAGAAAAAAGACGTGTGTTTTGGTGAGAATAATGAGAAATAATGGCAACTTTTGGACCAATCGAAGGATAAATAATGGTCTCTATATTTCTCATTCATCAAATACGAGCAGTATTGTTGGTGTTTGCTCCAACGAAAATAAAATGGAAACAAATAAGACAAAATTTGACCACAATGATTTTTATTGTTGAGTTCACTAATTCTCTATTTATCCACATAAATCAAAATGCCTCTCTCTCTCTTACATTCATCTTTATTTGACACAAAAGAATTCTAAATAGAAACATAAGTCACATATCCGCGCGGAAAATTAATTTTATTATAATATTTCTTTTATAGCACAACTATTGTATTTTATGTTAATGCATAGCAAAATTCCAACAATAAATTATTATCTATTCATTGGCAACCATTGCGTTTGTTTACAGAGATTCTCGAGAAGACATGAGTGACAATGACATCAACATTTTTTTTTTTGTCGTCACATCAACATTCTTTTTTAAAAGAAATTTTGATCATCCAATACAAATAAACAAATGATATAAATCGTTAGACAGAAAATTTTTTTCCCTATACAAAAAAATGTGATGTCATCAATCTCAAAAACTGGTTTCCTATTATATATAGATTTTTCTATACATTTTTACCATGAATGATAATGTATTCGACATGAAACAATGTCAAAAGATTCCATACCACATAATAAATCTTATCTTATATGACTTTAAAAGGTATCATAACGTCAATAAAACAGAACTTGGATTGGAAAACAACC